TATATATACATTTATTTGTTTATAAATTCATTTATTATACATCTATATATCCATAAACGTAGCTGTTTAGCTTTAATTAATTTATTTGTTTAGTAATTTATTAATTTATTAGTCTACTTAGTCACCAACTTGTTCCTTTATTTACTATTTCGTTTGGGAAAACTAACTTTTATAGCTCTCAATTAATGAATATTATGCTGTTTTTGAAACTTTTTTGAAGTGAAAGAAAAAGAAAGCTTTATGAATGTTGATATATGGCGTTTGCTGAAATTGGAAAAGAGACAAATGTAGGCTAAAATTCTGTTAAAATAAACTTTTGTAACTATTTTTGTGCTTATTCGATCGGTCAATTACTTTTAGTAAACAGTATTGACGACAGCCCCATTTTCAAAGGCACTGAAACTCTTTAAAGTTGAGCAGCGATGAGGAAAAAATTTGTTTTTGTTTAATATAACCACTAGCTACGTTCTATCATTAGAATGGTAATAAAACAATTAAAAAAACTGTTGGTTAACTATTGGCGACAAACGGTTATCGGTAGATCAAATTTCAATGAAGTGACAATACTTTTGTCAGTTGACTAGTTTGTGTTGTTTTAAAGTTATTTTAAAAAATTGTATAGAAGATAAATTTTCAATTTATTCACATCTCACTACGCTCGTAAAAGAGACAGATAGTTCAGCATCAACACAGTTTATATCGTTTTTCCTCTGTCTTTTTACTCAACATCTTCTCACAGAAATTTGTTGGATATTGGCGTAACAATTACTGAATTATTGTCTTTTCAGCCACCAAAGCGTACAGTTACCAAAAAAACCCCAGCTCCACCAGCTCCAAAAAAAGAAGAACCAAAAGCCGAACCAGCAGCGGCAGCTGCACCACCTCCACCGCCGGAACCAGTAAAGCCAAAGATTGCGCCACATGTACCAAATAAGAAGAAGACTGGCAAAGATGCAGCAGCAATTTTTGATCAAAAATTGTTGCAGTCATTCAAAGATGCATTTGAAGTTATGGACGACAACAAAGACGGCATTGTAGACAAGAAAGATTTGAAAAATATGTTTGGTTCAGTTGGACAAGCAATCACCGACGAGGAAATTGATGATATGCTAAAAGAGTTTGATGGACCAATTAATTTTGAAAATTTTGTAGTTATGTTTGGTGAACGTTACTCTTGTAAGCATTAGATCTTATCTAAAACAATTTTCTTTCTGTAATTAAATTTTAAAAAAAGTTTTAAAAACACTGAAAAAGTTTCAAAAAAATAAGTGGTTCAGCTTATCATCTTAGCAACATAAACTACATTAAAACACGCTGTGATTTTATTGCTTTTTATAGTCGCTAAATTTTATTTTGCTCTTTTGATTCTTTTCAGGTCGTGACACGGAAGAAGAAATATTGGCCGGATTTCGAAAATTCGATCCAGAAAATACTGGAAAAATTCCAGTGGAGAAATTAAATTACTTGCTCGCAAATCCAAAAGTTTATCCGTTGACGGAAAGAGAACTGCGACACGCTAGCAAAGTTTCTTTATTACTTATACTTGCTTTTCTATTCGTCAGAAAAACAGTAGTTCAACATCTGACCTATTATAAACTTTTTCTAAAGCTTTATATCTCTTATTTTTATACAAATATACAGCTTATCTCTCTTTTTTACTCAAAAAACCAAATTAAACTGTTTACAAACTGTTTAGCAGTGGTTTAATTTTACTTTGAAGTCTTTTCCATTTGTTCTTCAAAAATTGTCGTCATCAAAGTTTTTGAAGAGTCTGTTGAAAAAGCTTTTCTGTTTTGCTTTCAAACACTCCTGAATTTTTTTTATCTAAGACAGTTCCAAATGCACTTCTGAAATGTCTGAGCAAATAATAAAAAACTAGTCGTTTACACTGCGTTTAGTGAAAGTAGTAGTTTGAAGTAAAAAAAAGAAAGTTGAAAACAAATATTTTTTTGCTTTTAAGTAGTTGCATTTTATCGTGGTACTTTAAAACTGACTAAAAACTAAGCGTCTAAACTTTTGCTATCGCTGTTCTTGCTGATGGTTGGAGTTACAAGGCTATTAATAACCGTTTGAAAGTATGGAAAAATGAATGACAAGCATGTCATCGTTTTTGTTGCTATTAATATTGTTTATTAATATTATTCAATCAATGTGGGTTTTGTTTCATAATGTTTAGAATCGTTTGCTGTAGTTGTAAGAGAAAAACGATCGAGAGATTTTACAAATTAAGAAAGCAAGAAAAATGTTAAGATGGTAACGAGGGCAGATAGGGGGATAAATATGACCACTGATATAAGCATCTCTATCATTACTATTACCGAAATATAAATAAACTTCAGAAACTTTTGTGGGTTAATCTGGTGTTCTACCACTCGTTAAACCGTCTGCTGACTGCAGTCACTTATTTGATGATTAGGGAAATTAGCAATTAATAAAATCTGAATGTTCTTTTTTTTTCTTTTTTTTTATCGTTATATGAGAATGTATTGTCAAAAATCAAATTTGTTACAACTGCCAACTTTTTAGCTGCTGTGTTAAGCTACGCAAAATTTTTACTGAGTATAGCATAATCAGAAAAATTACCTTATTTTTAGGTAAAATTACCAGCTATTGGTGGAATGCTGGATTATCGAAAATATACGCACATGTTGCTTAAAGAGCCTATGGATTTACTACTGAAGGCGTAGCAGAAAATCGTTGTTATCTCGGCTGTTTCTATAGCTGTTGTTGCTGCCCCTTGAACATAATTGGTGTTACAGGGCTGTTTACAGACGCATACAGTATTTTCTCCAAATTGCAGTTTTATCTGACCGCCAGAATACTTTAGCTTACTGTCGCCAATAAGAAAATTTGAAGAACCACATAAATAAATCCACGTACTCTCCATCTGTTTTACTTTATCTTATACATAGCGTTTCTTTTTAAGTAAATAATTTCGAACTGCTTTTTGAAAATTGAACAATTAAAGAAAAACCAAAAATGTGCAATAAGTGCAGTTTTCCGCTATGAAATACTACATATATTAGTTTTTCTTTGAAAAAGAATGCAAGTTCTTTCTCAAGAAAAAACTGCTAATCAGCAGTGTAATGAAAATGGTGCGGACAAAAAACCGTGTCTTTTGGTGACCAGTTACAGTGAGAAAAAAGAAAATTCTTTTGCTAAACGCTTGATATCACTGTAAAACAGTTACAAGAATTAAACCAGCCAATTGAATTGTTACACTTTTTTTACATCCCAAAGTTAAATTTTTGAATATTAGCTGTTGATTAGTGTGAGAAATTAGCTTTAAAACAACAAATGTATGACAATGTTAGTTTTCTTTTTTCTATAATAATACGGAGTAACAAAAGGATAAAATACTGTTAGCTAGATTCAGTACATTTTTGGAGAAAAAGTAATTCACACCCCCCGACTGCTCCAAAAAAATTGAAGATCAATACCGTAACGACAAATTCTAAGTTGATTTGTATTTAAATTTACCGTTATCTACAGAGACGATGAAACCAATAAAACATTTTAGCTCAACGACAATTAAGAAACGAAAATAATTCAAAGTGAAATTTTAGTTTTTGTCTATCTCTTTTTATTTAAGAACACCGAAACAAATTACATTTAAAAATGTAGATTCAGTAGATATCGATGTTTACGTCGTACTGAAAAATCCCATCAGACATATTCAACAGCTTTGTTGGCTTTCTATGTCTTACTTTCAACAAATTAATTCGGTGCTTTGCGTCCCGCGTTGTTTTACAGCAAATTTTAATACGGGAAAGTGTCTAAAATTTGAAAGAAAGCTCTTGTCTCCTATTTCCGCAGAAAAAGTGATAAGCTAAGTACAATAAATTATGAATCTATCGTTCTTACTTCGGCACCTTGTAAAGTTTTTGAGAAAGTCCTACCACATGTGTAACTATATATTTCGAAAGAGGTGAAATGTTCTGCTCTAAACAGTGTAGATTTCCACGTAGATTTTCAAAGCATAAAAGTGCGATCAGACCATTCCTAAAGTGTTCCAACTATTGATCAAAAAAAGTGCAGCTGCAGTAGTTTCGTTAGATTTTTATAAAGCATTTGACCGGGTCTCATGATCAGAGGTACTCGATTTGTCGCGACTACCGACGGTCTATTTAATTGAGGAGTTGATCACAACTCCTCTACAGTGTCTCTATGGAGAACAGAACTTCTACTGAATTTTAAACCGCAAGCAATCGTAGTCGCGCATGCTTGCAGCATTATATATATAATTCGAGGACTGTAACTACGTAGGTTGGTAACGTTGTCGAGCACTTTATATTTGGATAATTCTTTAT